CTGCTCGAGAAACATTTCTGATTATTATCAATGTTGAGAACAGTTGTGCTGCACAATATTTTAGTGGAAACTGTGATGCTTTTTTCAGGATTCTTTGATGAATAAAAAGTAAAAAAGAACTGCGTTTATTCAAAATATAAATCTTTTCTAACAATATAAATCTTTTTTATCACTTTGCACACACATGTATATTAAAACAGAAAAATGTTATTTTACATCATAATAATATTTCACAATATTACATTTTTTCCTGTATTTTTGATCAAATAAATGCAGCCTTGATGAGCATAAGAAACTCCTTTAAAAACATTAAAAATTGTTCTGATCCCAAACTTTTGAACGGTAGTGTACTTAAAGCAGTAAAATAATATAAAAAAAAAAAAAAAAGGCAGAGGACTTAATACCGAGCCCTGTGGCACTCAATGAGATCTGATGAAATATTTTCTGACATTTTAGACATAAATGGTAGATTTGGGATTGGTCTATACCTAACCATTTTCTTCCAAGATATATATATATATTTATTTATTTATTGATAAGGGGGTTTAATACCTACCAGTTTTTTAGTATTTGGGATGTGTTCTGAAGAATGGGATGTGGCTCTAGCATATATGTTGTTGGTTTCTATGCTTTACATATCTAAAAGTTTTGATGTATGTTGTTTTGTGCCATTAAACTGGCAATATTTGTCTTTTCACCTTAGACCTGATTGTACTGAAAGTGGAAAGTGAAGAACGGAATGAAATGGAAGATAATGATGAATATGAGAAATATGATTTCATGACTGGAGAAAAATCTTTTAGTTGCTCAAAGACTGAAAAAAATCAAAAAAGAGCTCAAAAGACTGGAACTAGAAAATGTTTCACCTGCCAACAGTGTGGAACAAGTTTTGATCAAAGTAGCAATCTTAGAGTCCACATGATTATTCACACAGGAGAGAGGCCTTTTGTTTGCCATCAGTGTGGAAAAAGTTTCAATCGAAAAGAACACCTGACAGTCCACATGAGAATTCACACTGGCCAGATCCAATTCACCTGTCAACAGTGTGGAAAGAGCTTCACTGAAAAAGGAAACATGAAAACCCACATGAAAATTCACACTGGAGAGAAACCTTTTGCCTGCCAACAGTGTGGAAAAAGGTTCATTCAAAAATCAAGCCTTAAAAACCACATGGCAATTCACAATGGAGAGAAGCCCTACACCTGCTCTCAGTGTGGAATTAGTTTTATACAAAACTACAGCCTTAATGCCCACATGAGAAGTCACACTGGAGAGAAGCCATTCGTATGTGGTCATTGTGGAAAGAGTTTCAGGTATACAGCAGCCCTTACTAAGCACATGAGGATTCACTCAAGAGAGAACTGTTTTAGATGTCATCAGTGTGGAAAGAGTTTCACAGATGAGATATGCCTTAAGAATCATGTAAAATCTCACATTGAAGAGAAACCTTTCATGTGCCATCACTGTGGAAGGAGTTTCACAAACAGATCAAACCTTGATACCCACTTGAGAATTCACACAGGAGAAAAGCCTTTCACCTGCCAACAGTGTGGACAGAGTTTTGCTTTTAAAGGAAACCTTGATGTTCACATGAGACTTCACACCGGAGAGAAGCCTTTCTCGTGTTTTCACTGTGAGAAGAATTTTAGATATAAAAGAGACCTGAAATGTCATTTAAAAACTCATTCTGTAAAGACATTAGCCCTGTTTCCACCGCAGGAACTTTCCCCAGGAACTAGGGACTTTGGGCCGGTACTCGGTTTGTTTCCACCGCAGGAACTTTCCCCAGGAGCTAGGGACTTTGGGCCGGTACTCGGTTTGTTTCCACCGCAGGAACTTTCCCCAGGA